AAACCCTACACCCCAAACCTTAAATCCACAAAACAAAGGAGGCCAGGTGCCAAGTGAAGCATTGCAAGGCCACGGAGCGCTCCTGCCACTTCGTCGAAGGATCGATTTAGGATTTAGGGATTAAGGTTTAGGGATTAGGGCTTAGGGTTTAGGGCTCAAGGTTTGGAGATTCTTCTTCGGATGCTGGCAAAGTCTTACGACGCACCTTGAATTCTCATGCACAAGCCACCACCTAGGCGTGCAAGTAAAGCTGTGCTTACACAGCACTTGCGCCCGGTTCGTTCAAAATTGCCAACCCCGGAGCAGAAATCTGCAGGCGTGCAGTATGCACTCAGGGATGCAAAAACTCATGACCACAAATGAAAGAGGAGTTCCTGTAAATCGGGCCCCAACAGGCAAGCTTGTTCCATGGGACCCTCAAACTAAGCCACCGGCAGGTAACGTGACAGCGTGTATACAAACCGGGGCCTCGCGCAACAGGCAAACAGCTGTCCTAAAAAACAACACTAACGCAAAAAAGGTCATGTATATGCACAACCCGACACTAGAAGTAGTCCGGGTTTGAATGCAGCGTGGCTGTAACAATTGCATTCTGCGGCGCTGCGCACAAGGAACCGCAAGCGAGCCATTAGAATTCTCACTCGTTCATCGTTCGCGACATAGCCCATAGCCACATCCATCCAGCAATCCTTCAATCAAGGTACTCTGGATACACATACTATACACAAGCCATGCCCGGACACTAGCCCAGGACATGGAGCTGTAAACTCCCCTGCTGCTGCCGCTTCATGCCTCGTCGAGCTCGCGGTAGATGACAGATTGTATGATGTTGACCACCTGATCGTCGGACAAACGGCCCCGCGCGGCCACCTCTTGGAGAATGATAGTTTGGAGCCTCAGGGGCATGGCGGACACCACCTGTCTCATCTCATCTGAGAGGTGGTCGCACGACAGCATTGGTGCTGCCGTACTGGAGACCCTTCTCCGAGAAGCACGAGCCGCGTCACCAAGATTGACCGCTGGCTGCGCCTGCGCCAACGGCTGAGCAACATGCACTGCTTGAGCAGCCGCTGCGGCCCCCTCCTGGACGCCGGTCAATTGCTGCTGAGCTCGGTCGATCATGTCCTCGACGCCAGCCTGCACCTCCTCTGTGGAGGGCGCCTGCTCGCAGGCGCTGCTTGCCGACTGGTAGGCTTGCTGCGAGAAGTCCTCGGCCGCAAACCATTTTCTCTAGCCACGGCTGGCGGCATGGGCTGGACGCTCCCGGAGCGGGTGGGGCATCGAGGTCGGAACGGCATGGGCAGGACCCTCCCGGAGCGGGCGGGGCATCGAGGTCAGAACGGCATGGGCAGGACCTCCTGGAGCGGGTGGGGCATCGAGGTCGGAACTTGGCCTGCTCGACTGTGGCGGCCGCCTCGGCCCAGTCGCCTAAGCCCAGCTGCGCTTTGGCCAGGTGATGCTGTGAGTTCACGGAAGATGGGTCGTCCTCCAGAGCCGCGGCAGCCAGCACCAAAGAGTTCCACCTGGCCGCAATGGCGAATGACTTCCTGGACCTTCTCCGGGACTTCTGCAAGCCCAGACTGCAGACACCTGGATAGCGTGCTGATTGCTTGGCCGTAGAGCTCCACCGCCTGCAGGAGGTGCTGCTTCACATCCGCATTGCCAGGAATCTGACCCTGTCGGAAGAAGTCATTGCCTGCCTCAGCTCTTCTGCTTCTCTCAGCGCGCCCAATGCGCGTTGCTCTTGTTCCTGGACCATGTTGTCGTTCTCCTTGTTCTCCATCATGGCCTCCGGGGCAGGCATTGTAGCAGCAGGAACGAAGAAAGCAACAGAGGGCAATGTCTTGAGGGAAGTTGTGCTTGAGCCAAATTAGGGTTTAGGGCTGGGCTGGCTCAGGTCTGGGGACTTTTAATAAACCCTGAAGATATGCGGATGCCATCTCACAATGTTGTTCTATCTTTTCTACTTGTCGTAGAAGATGCTGTGGTGCCTTCAAACTGAAATCCCAAAACCCTGAACCTCTGCACTCCTAAACCCTGAACCTCTACGCTCCCAAACCCTAAACCCCAAACCCTGAAACTCTACACTCCTAAACCCTCAACCTCTCAACCCTAGGCCCCTAGACTTCCAAACGCCAAGTCGAAACCTCCGGTGGAAGGTCGGGAACGCCGTTAATGCAGTCCACCAGCAGTGTCTTCGTGCTTTCCTGGTTTAGGGTCTGGGGTTTAGGGTGTAGGCTTTACGCTCAGGTTTTTTATGTTTAGGGTCTGGGATTCAGGATTTGGGCTTTACGCCAATTGTTGGGGTCAGGAATTTGGGGCTTAGGCTTCAGTACTTGCCCTCCCCCAAAGCCAGAATGGAACTCCAAAAGTGCCTCTGCAAAGGGAAGCCAAGGTGATTCTGAGAACCACCATCTTTTTGCAAGCATCTTTGAGTTAGATCCCTAGGGCCTGAGTAGTTCGTGACAACGGCGGCCTAGATACAAACTGTAGTCTAAACTCCTCATAGGAAATTTCATAGGGGATGATATAGGGTAGTATTATAGGGGTTATGAAGTATTAAGTAGGATGCTAGGAGTTTAGACTATGGCCTGTAGAAGACCTATAGATACAGGTTTCACGCGGCATGCCTGAGAGGCTTGACCAGCGACTCTGGAATGAGCAGCTTTCAACATGAGAGCCGCCGTATCCAGGGCCCTTCAAAGCGTGTAGAACAATATATACATATATATATATATACATATATAGGGTTTAGGGTTGAAAGTGTCGGGCCGACAATGCACCCCACACAAAAGTTGAAAACAAAGAAGCTCTAGCTATCCTGCGAATGCAACGGGCTCGTGTTTTTAAGGTTGGGGCGGTTAGGGTTACGAACAGATGAAACTAGACCCCAAACCCTAAACACTGACAGTAGCAGCAATCTGCATACACTTGCTACGAAAAAGTCCTCTTTTAGATGCTGCGACCTCAAAACTCGACCCTGAATGCCCAACCTCGAGCCTAAAAACAGAAATCCTAAACCCCCAGCCCCAAGCCCTATAGCCTGAGCCCTGACCCCCCAAACCACAGAACCTGAAACCTTAGGTCTGAGCCCCTAAGCACTAAAACCCTAAAAACCTAAACCCAGAACGCTCGACCTAAAGACCCTAAGGTGTACACTCTGACATGGACCCCGAAAGTGATTAGGGGTTTGGGGCCACAACTTTATCCACTCTTGATATTCCGGCACACCCTGAACTCTAAGCCCTGATCCCTAGCCACGAGTCTATCTCGAACTTGTATCGGCGTGAAGTGTTGGAGAGTCCCAAGACAACCGAAATAGCCTTTGTGCTGGCGTTTAGGGTTTGGGGCTTAGGGTCTTAGGTGTTTAAGGTTTAGGGTTTTTAAGCTTCAGGGTTTAGGGCTTAAGATTCTAAGATTTGGGGTTTAGGGCTTCGAGTTGCAAGCTTTCGGGTTTGGGGCTTAGGGTTTTAGGGTTTTAGGGTTTAGGGTTTAGGATTTAGGGCTGGTTGAGGTGTAGGGTTTAGGGCTTAGGGTTGTTAAGGTTTATGTGTTAAGGCTTAGGGTTGTAAGTTTAGGGTTGTAGGGTGAAGGGTTTTACAGTAAGGTTTGGGTTTATAGTTTTCGAAATCAAATATTACGGGTCTGGGGGTTCAAGGATTGCAGTCTTGGAGTTTCAGGGTTCAGGGCTTGGGGTAAAGGCATTGCGATTCAGGTTTCGAAGTTTGAGGTTTAGGTTTTAGGTTTCAGGGTTATGGTTCGGGTTTAGGGTTGGAGCGACTCTTTAGGAATTTCAGTCAGAATTGTAAACTTGGGCTCCAGCAACAAACAGACAACCGGAAGGGGAGCCCATTAGAAGTATGGTTCGTTTTCGGATCCCCTAGAGATTGGGTCCAGTATGGTAAAGGGCACCCCAGAACCACCACAAGCCTAAGCCCTGAACCCAAACCCACAACCTATATGGACTGACTGCTTCGGCAAGGAAGGGAAGCTCAGAGTGGCTCCGTTTCAGGTTAGGGTCTATAAGTCTTTGGGGCTTGGTTTTTGTTAGGGTTTGTGGGTTTTTGGGCCTTGGCTTCACTGTGCAGAGGTTACGCTTCCAGTGCACAGGTTTCAGCCTTCAGGGTTCAGGGATATGGGTGGTTGTCAAAATTATGGTCCCTTTTTGGGTACCCTAAATATTAGGTGCCGTATTCAAATAGGGAGCCAAAAAGGGACCATAATTTTGAGAACCACCCATATGGGGCCTGGAGGCTGGGGCTTTTGGTATCCCGAACACCAAAGTTTGGACCCTATCAGAGACATGTCGTAGTTTTAGGTTCCTCGATATGGGAGGTAAAGTGCAGCGAAATCAATGGCTGTGGGAGTTTCTAGAAACAACCCTTCTCCGAAGGATCCTGATGGGTGTGATAAAGGGAGATTTCCTGTTTGCTTATCACTCTAAAGGATTTGGAACCCCAGTAGAAATTATAATTTCAGCTAAATATTAGGATTCTAGGTAACAGAAATGAAAAATTATTTTCAGGAACCTTGTAGATCAGTATACGAGTTGCAAGAGTTGAAAGCAGCCAGAAAGACAGTTCAGGGAAAAGGGAAGCCCAAAGTAGGGCCGTAAGTTCGCAGTGCACGCCAAAAGGAACCATCCCTAATTTAAGATGGTCCGCGCACAACCCCTGTAACATCACTCGTGGTAGCCCCTAACGTCCCAGCATACCCAAACCCGAAATCCTGAGCTCTTAGCTCAAGCCCTAACCCTAAACCCCAAAGCCTTCACCTGCAGGAAAAGCCCTCAAAAGTCTCCTGGCCCTGCAGCACAGGCGCCAGAACGCCCTCGTTATCCACAGACCCACCGAAGCAGCGAAACGAGGACCTTTCATAACAAGTTTAGGGTTTAGGGTGAGAATAGGGTTGAAGTTGATTTTTTGTAACCAAAGACCTCATGACAAGAATCCCGTAACAGCTGTCATGTGATAGTCCTTGGGTCCTCGCCTTGCAGATTCTGGTTACCAAGTAATCTCTACATTTTCACTACAAAAACTTCACACAGGTGAAGGCAAGGCTCATAACAGGGAGAATTCTGGGGACTCTTGAACAGACGTGCAGGAGTCGGATACGCAGAGAGTTACAAGCATAGTGACACTCAGATTCTCATGGAAGACAAGTTGTCAAAACCCAGCCTCCTAGGCGCGAAATCTTGCAAAGAAAGGCTGTAGAGTTTGGGAGCTTAGCAACATGCATGCAAGAACAAGACCCCTGCAAAGGCAAAGGCCACAATGCGCCTTTGAAGCCAGATGATTTTGCTCTAAAGTTGTAAACCTTCCGGGGTTCCTCTGTGAGGCTTCCCAGCCACCCTACCCCATTCTCGAAATCGCGAACCCCGCGCCCAGGTACCGATGCAAACAAAACTGCCTCAAACCCTTATACCCTGGTGGCTTAAACCTTTCTCTATAATCATCGCAGAAAGAGACAAGCCTGGCAAATAAGTACTGTAGGTAGCTTGGTGCTGCAGGTTCTTTGGTTTAAACCCTGAGCCATACACCATAAACCCTGAACCCTGAACCCTATAGCCCGGAACTAAACCCTCTGCATACACCTGCCGCCATAAGCCCCAAGCTCTTTGGGGCTAGGCCCGGAAACCAACCAACCTAATGAACACTGAAATCCTAAACCCCAAATCGCAGCCCCTAAAACTTAGACCCTTAACCACTAAACCCTACCTTAGACCCCAAAGACCTTCAGTTTTAGGATTTCATATAGACAATTATACTATAGGGTCCCAAAACTGAAGGTCTTTTGGGCCTAAGGTAAGCCTATCCATTTTCTTTCCCTGAGACCCCTGAGCCCCCGACCCGTCTCCTAACTCCAGTCGTCCCGCGGGTTCATCTTGCCCTTGCAGGGATCACAAGGGGTCTAGGGATTTAGGGTGTAAGGGGATTAAGGGGATCAGGGGTTTAGGTTTGGGGGTTAAGGGTTTAGTAGGGGTTTGAGGGTTTACGGTGCAGGAGGCTTGGAATATCGGACTTGGGGTTTAAGGTTTGGGGCTTCAGGCGAAAGGTAAGGGATGCAAGAAGCATGGTCACAAGTACACTCCAGCTTGTCTCAAACTGTCAAACAGAGGTAGTTCCAGATAATGTCTTACAACTCCCATACCCTCCACCCTAATTTAACAAGTTTGTGGGAAAAGCTCGTCAAGACATCAACTCTACGCT